TTGATCATACATGTTTTGTCTTTGCTAAATCAGGGTTGGCTTTCTGATTGACCCATCTCATACTCCCCACGTATTTGGATATGGATTCCAAGAGGTGGTGGCCCATGATCTCTCAAGGGACTGAGGGGAGAGGCTGACTCATCTACAGATTCCTCAGCTTTCCTTGTTCCTTTTACTACAGCCTTTCTTAATTTGTTCAGAAGTTTCCCTGACCACTACGATTTTTCACAGATAGCAGCCTTGCAATCACGTCACTGAAATCTTTCCAGACCTCTGGGTGTACCCCATTTATCTAGTGCCTTTAAGATGTCCCTAACCTACTGCTCTGTTACTGCTACTTTCTTTTCAGTAGTGTATCGGCACACAAAAGGGTCTGAAAGCAGACTTTGCCCTTAGAGTCTGAGGTAAAAAAAGGCATTTAATACTTCTGTAGCCTCCACAGTGCCCATTACAGGCTTCGCTCCTCACATCGTCAGGGGACTTGCATTTTTTCTTAAACTGCTTTTGCTATTAGTATACTTGTAGAATCACCTTCTTGCCACTTATTATCTCTAGCTAGTTTTTATATAAATAGTACATGGCCTGAGATATGTATCTATCTATAGATAGATAAGTATAGTAAAAGTATATAGAGGTGTCCTGATTAAAATCACCATAGGAAACCTAGGTATTCATCAACAAAAGACGTTATCAGAACTATGCCATTTCTGATGTTTTTTTGTACTCTTGGAGGAGGGTCTCAGAAATTTATTCTTGCCTTCCCTTTTTCTCTTATATATTGTAACTGAATTATATACTTCCAATTACCAGTTGCGATTCTATTGATTTCTGCTCTTCTAACCTGCTTTTTTCTGATCAAAAGTTTTGTCCTATTCATGTCTCCTTTACCATTTCATGAGGCTTACTTAATGAACACGGACAGCAGTGAAAACCCAAAGTACAGAATACTGAAGAGAATGAGTTCATAGCTACCCAACTATCTTGACTATCATTTGACCATCTCTTTCTTCTGTTTCGAGCTTTCTGTGTTCATTTTAAACACCCTTCCCAGCTCTTTCCTTCCCAGCAGGCACATCCATGTTGGAAGAGGCCTCAGGAGGCCCAAACTCCCTGCTGAAAGCAGGGTCAGCTATGAGGTAAGACCAGGTTACTCAAGGCTTTAGATATCTCAATGAATTTGTCCTCTGCTTTCTACACCAATTGCTTACTTATTACCTTAGTTCCTCTAAGGTGTCACACAAATGCCACTATTTTTGGATATCATGAAGACATCTAAAACCACACCTAGGAAAACTCATGTGGCCTTTTCTGATGGGGGAGTGGAATATGAGGAAGGGAGAACATCAGATCTGTTTGGAACAGAGGTAGGATGACTCAGCTGTGAATATAAGATTTTGGCAAAGTTAACATTCAAATGTTTAGTCATCAAACTATCATTGAAAGTCTTTTTATACTCAGAGGAGTATTCAGCACAAATGAAGTGGAATAATTGCAGTTTACTTCACAGGCAGATGTGCTAACAAAGAGGATGGTGGGGGATAGGAATGTTGTTTCTAAGTCAAATACATACAAAATTGTTTTTTGTTATCACCTCTGACCTTTTTATACTGCACGTTCATTTAACCTATGCGGCAGTTACACTGTCTGTAACTAGGGAAATCCCACACAGATCAAGGCTTCTGGCACTAAAATAGTGTAGCCACTCTAATACAGAGACAAAAAAACATTAATCAAAATTAACCTGCTTTCCACTAACATATATGGTACTCTATCAGGATTCAGTCTATTAATGTAGGCTATCTCACAGACATGGAAAAAACAACTGGTTCTACTACTAGTACTTGCCAGAAACATAAGAAGCTTTTCAGTGATACAAATGCTTACTCCTTATACTTCTATTTTTTTCTGTAAATATCTACATAACTTCAAGAAATGAGAGATTAGAAAAGCTTAGAAGAATACAGGAATACCAAACACAGGAAAAAGTTCACCAAGCAAGCAGTTCTGCAAATGACAACTGCTACTTTCAGATCTGTCAGACTAGATTCAGTACCAGGTGCAAACACAACTGAAATTGGCTGGAACTGCAGTGAACTACTCTTCATCCCACTTTCTGCACTGGAAAACACCAAGCCCTAAAAATAATTTCAAGGTCATTTTGCAACAGATGGGAGAATTACTGGAACTCAGAGCTACATCAGACACTGCAGAAAAATATCTGATAGTGCATATTGCAGCTGGTAGATGCAGAAGGCAATGTCACAAGAGTCTGTGCCAACATTTTCTCAAACTTTTAATTAAAATGAGGGCTGCAGACAATCTCATGTCTCTGTATCACTACTAATTGTCAGACTCTGACACTATTCTGAGGATATAATTAACCATCAATGAATAAGATACATGATAGCCTTTTCTTTCTGCCTATAATTTGTTGTACAAAGCCTCAGACATTTTGGTTTTCATTTTGCTAGATATTGCATATGACAACGAAAATATGCTTAAAATAATGCAAATTTCTGCCTTCCAATTTGATTTTCGATTTACAGCTGTACAGCATGAATATGCAGAAAACCCACTTCTCAGACTGTCTTGTTTCATTTATTCAAAATAAGTCCATATACTGCACAGGCTGTATCTCAAAATTTCTCCTCTAACTTCTGCTCTCTTTCTTCAGGTTAAGAAAGAATACTTTAAAAGAGGCAACAAAAACACTAGCAAACAAAAAGACTAAAAGATAAGATGAAAGAAAATGACTAACAGAATAACTCTGGAATCATTATACTTGCTTGTGGTTTTAAGAAGTAAAACGATCAATGAATGAGCAAATGAATTTGTAAGTCTTAATCATCAAGAAGTAAAAAAAAGACCTTGCTGGTATTCAAGTCTAACTGATTCCCCTAGTTAAAACACTTCATTTTCTAACTACAAACATTTTTCCATATAATCAGTATATCTGTGCATGTCAGGGGAGAAAACAGTTAAAGACTACATCAGTCGCTTAAAATTCAATACATAAATCCTTATCATGAAAGTTATTCAAATGAGTATTTTCAAAGATAAGGTCACTAAAAGCTTTTAGATAATTTCAGTTTATGTGAGTATTTAAATTTGTCAATAGACTCAAGGAAGCAGGAAGTTGCACTTTGACATTGAATAGTATACATTAAGGTCAAGGTTAAAAACCCAACCCAGGAAATAAGGATATTCTTAAAATAAACTATATAATTTCAGTTTCATTTAGTGTGAAAAGATTATATCAGGGTATGCCAAAAATAGAGAATCAGAAAAAAAAACCAGTATTGGGGACAGGAGGGAAGGAATACTTTGACATCTATTTATTTTTTAACTATTTGGAAAGAACTACAGAAAAAGTAAATATAAAAAAGCTGAAATATGTTAAACTATTATATTTCACAATAAACTGCATACTGTTTTGCCAGTGACACAACATACTCTGCAATATTCCATTGAGCTTGCATATTCAATTTTGTTGGTGCATGAAGTATCAAAGTATAAACCCCACCATTTTCACATAAATCCCAACTTTTGGTGTGCCACACAAATATTAGAATTACTAGGACACCCATTGATTCTTAGTTCCATTTTACAGTAAAATGCAGTCAAGTCAGATGCCTCAAAAACGACTGATGAAACATTTTGAATGGAGTGTTATTAAAAATGGTTCTGGTTCTGCACCCCCACCTCCCTTGCCAATCTAAATTTCACATCCAACTACAACCACCAAATAAAGTATCAACAAATGACTTCGTAAAGGGGCACTAGGATCTGACAGGAGTTTAAATGTGTGTGCGGCACTTACATCTTACAAAGTGATGATAAGAGATCATGAGATAAGAGATAAGTTCATATAAACATTGAAAAAAGCACACGATTTTTACAAAACATAATTCAAAAAAGACTCTTAGGACAATACCACAGTGGAAACAAAAACAGAAATAAAACTGTGGTAAAGTCTACTTTTACGAAGACAAAGTGATTAACAGCTTGTTATTAGAAAGTTTGGTTATGGGTTTGATTATGTGGAAAGCTGTGTACATTTCATATATTTGTTAACAATCCAGAACAGAGCAAGCAGTGAAATGGAAAAATTAGATTATAATCGTTATCTGAATCAGGCATATTACAAGGGGCTTTTTTTGTGCATTTTTCAATGGAGCTTTCAAGGAGTGTCTCATGATTCTGAAATCTGGCCCTCCACAGCATTACTAAACAAACCTGAATCATCATCTGTTCATCAACAAAATTTTACAGTGAAGTGCCTAGCAGTGCTTACATAGCTTCCTCTTCATCCAAGGTTCTTTGCTCCAAGAATTTCATATCTGTTTTCTTCTCAGTTTTGCAGTGTCACTTTGAATATTTCTTTCATTAGGTGACGTTTCTAGAATGAATCATGTCACATCTAATCTTCTATTTTTGTAACACATTTATGTGCTAGTTAAGCTTGACTTGACCAGCAGAATTATTGCATGTGATTTCATTTTGTCATAGCCCTCTGGGCATGTTTTCCTGACATTGTTTTCTTACACACCTTAAGGAAGGTGCATCTGTCACTAAAAAAGTACTTCTTTGTGGTGGAGAAGGAACTAAAATTTTTGAAACAAGATACTTAGGTCCCATGCATTATGCAAAGAGAATAAAGTAATAGTTAAACTGCAGGAAGATAGCCTTTTTGAGTTTATTGGGGTGGCACCATGTGGTTTTTGAAAACAAATTTGAGGGGAAGACTTCTACTAGGGTTTTAGAAACTTCAACTACGACTAAAGCAACTCCCAAGGATAACTGATTACTCAAGAATTAGGATGCAAATTGCTATTTAAAATAAAACTTCACTGTTTTATTGTAAAATAGCAACTAGAGGTATTTGCTGTAACTGTTCTTCTTTCTTAGTTGTAGTTCAATCTTGCTGAATTTAGTCAAGTTTTCTAGATTTTTTTTTTCCCTACTTACTTTGACTAGGTATCCTTTTACTAGCATTTTACCTCTATGTAGTGCTTGTAGCATCTTCTGGGCTGTTGGCTGAAGGTGGTCTTTGAATTGGATGGCTGAAGGACATAAAAGAAAGTTAACGTGACCCATGCTGCTGGGTTTCTTTCTGACTCAGAAGTGCCATTGCCATGCCACAGTTTATGCCGCAAAAGTGCATTTGCTGCTTTGCTCGTCACATGCCTTATCTTCCACATGCTCCTAGTAAATAGCATTTTCAGATGTTGTCACACTGTTTTCTGTCTTGAATGAGTTGCACGCACCATCTAAGAAAGAGTCTAAATGTGAAATATACATTCCAAATTACAGTTAATTGGCTTGCAAAAGTTAAGTTAGTGGTAGATAATTAAGATGCTCTTGAATCACCAAAGCAAGGTATCTGAATTCGACACATGAAGCAAGAATTCTGGAAGCATTAATTTGCTACATAACCTTCAGGAATGGAATCTTAGAGCCTTAGTTTCTCTGTATACAAATGAGCACAGATACTTACTCACATTATAAAGGCATTGTCACATCAAAATACTTTTAAAAAAAGATCCCAAGATCCTTTACACCAAGCACAAGAATTCTTTCATGTAATGATACCATTTTTAAAAAAAGCAAAGGAGAGAAATGCCAATACCCTGACTACAACGAAAGAGGGTGAGTGAGAGAGAGATACACATTAAAAGTTACAAAAATTCTCAGGAGTTTAGATCTCATGAGAGATGTTAAGATGTGACACATTCTGTCATGGAAGAGGAGTGGCCCAGTGCAGATATTCCATTTTTGTAGCCTGTTGAGATTACAAGTGTAACTTATTTACAGGTGTTTATGTGTATAGATATACCTATGCATAGATGTACACACCCCTTCACCCATGTATACGTTTTAGATATGAAAACCTGGTTAGTCATATAAGCGTTCTCAGAACTTTTTCAGTGAACTCTGCCTTAATTCATGGCCTTTTTGAGTCTTACTTATGAACATATACACCCATATGCATATATAAATACATATGTAAAGAACCAGGAATATGTGTATATATGTATACATATACATATATAAAGAATGGGAAAATGATGTTTTAAAATTGTTAATTGTGGTAAGCAATTATGATTTTAAGAGTAATGAAGAAAGGTAGAGTTTTTATTAGTCACCATCTCAGCTAACAGATATTGTATGCAAGAATAAGCCTCCCCACTTCATCTGAAATGATTTGTGGGAAAGTCTTTATCCATTATTCGTATTACTTTACGAATGGAGATTCTTGAAATTCTTGGTGTGAACAGAGAATGTCTGTTTCATTTTGCAAAGTATTTCTGTAAGCTGAGGAGGAGAAAGCCAGTTGGCAAATGCATGACTTGCTTCAATTTGTGTTTGTGGAGTTAAGTGAATGATTTCAAGAAAGCAATGCAAGATTCAGTTTCTACAGAGCTTTAAATCACAAAGCAAGCATGAAAATGGAGTTTCTCAGACATGAAAATAAAGCAAATGATGATATTCAAAATGAAAATTCAAAAGCACATTAGAAGGTTTTCATGCATGTTGGCAAGGAATGTTGTGTGCCAGACACTACAATAGTGCATGCAAATTTAAATGCAATGAGAAAAATCAGTTGATTATTAGGTCATAATCAAATCATAGCATCATTGTCTCTATTCATATAAAGGTTAATTTCAGAAAATAGATTTTAAAAAAACCACCACTTTCTAAAACACTCCTAGAATAGACTCTGTATTTGTCCAAAGAATTTTAAAAGTTATTCAGATGAAAGAAGAATGAAAAAAAAAAAATAAAATCTCACTTACCATAAGTGAATTAGGTCGATAATTGTGAGGATATTCTTCAGAGAAGTACTCTGTACTGTGGTCCAGCCTTTGGTGTCCTCCATATTCTGCAGCATCAGAATCCAGAAGGATTTTATACTTAAAAACAACTGTTAAGGAACTATGCCAAATTACTGTTAAATGGGAAGTAAATCAAAGCAAAAAAAACTAGAAGAATTTTTGGAATATAATTAATGCTAATAAACTCAAAATAAAGCAATAATAAAAATAAAATGTAAGAAAAGAGTTAAAAAATATACAGAACAGACAGAAGCTGTATGACATTTAGTCTAGAAAATTTCATCTTAGCACAGTGATTCCTAGTAAAGAAAGTAGCTTCCAGTCTCTTCTGGACTCTTCCATGAATTATAAGTTTATATTATAACACAGTAAATATGCATAGCACTATATGTGATGCACCGGACTAGAAATGTACCACTAAACAAAATGAGTGGATTTGAATAGCATGTAAGAAGTTACATAATTTTGACCATCAAAATCAATCGATGTTTAGCAATATTTTACAGTTTGACAGCATCTGATCAAGCGTTAATGAGAAAAGGATATAGTTCTACAGAATAAAACTTCACAACTCTTTTGAGAGTCTTTGAGAAAAGATTTTGAATTACTATAGCATAAACAAGCAAAAGAAAGCTTGTATTTAATAGAAGACCTTTTAAGAGACAAACATTCTGACTGCAGTTGTTAAAATAAGGTGAGTTACTTACAGTGTAATGAGTTGGAATAGCTGCATAGATGCTTAAAAGGATTCAAACAGATTTAGCAAAAAATAAAAGATGAAATAATTGAAAGAAGAAAAACAGAAAATGTAAGGAAATAAATGGGGAAATAAAGAGCTAACACATATTCAAAATCAATTTATTCTTATCTGGAACAGCAAATAAAATGTTTTAATTTTATGATTATTTCAGTACCTTTGAATTTCTTATTTGGACATAATTAAAACATCCTTTTTCCTCCTAAAGTTACATCAGAAAGCCTCAAACTCCGATCCCTACCACCCAAAACATATACAGAGAGAAACAACAGTGCTCTATAATCCACAATCTACTTCCTTAATTTTAAACCATGGAAGAATCTTATTTTGGTAGAGCTTGTGTTTAATAGGATTTAGGAAGAGTGATGCAACACTCTAAAATTCAAGTCAGCGGTCCTTAAACTGCTTTTGGGCTTCAACCTTTTGAAAATAGGCCTGCTCAAAAACCTAAGGATTTTGATATTAACAGAACTGTTTTTATTTAAGTCTTTTTACACTACTCTCTTTTTATCAGATGAGTTTAGGAATTTTCCCAACCATCAGTCTTACTGATTTAAATCTCCAGCACCAACCACAGGCCGCTCAGTCTCACCTTTGTGCCTGGCAAGATCATGGAGCAGATTCTCTTGAAAGCTCTCCTAAGGCACATAGAGGATGAAGATGCGGTGATTGGTGGTAACCCACACAGCTTTACCAAGGGCCAATCATGCCACACCAATTTTGTTGCACTTTATGATGGAGTTATAGCTTCAGTGGATAGGGGAAGAGCAACTGACTTCATCTACCTGGACTTGTGCAAAGTGTTTGACACTGTTCCATGTGACATCTTGGTCACTAAATTGAAGACACGTGGATTTGATGGGTGGACCACTCGCTGGATAAGGAATTGGCTGGATGGTCGCACTCAGAGAGTTGTGGTCAATGGCTCAACGTCCAAATAGAGACGAGTGGTGTCCCCCAGGGATCGGTACTGGGACCAATGGTGTTTAACATCTTTGTTGGTGACACGGACAGTGGAATCGAGTGCACCCTCAGCAAGTCTGCGGATGGCACCAAGCTGTGTGGTGCAGTTGACGTGCTAGAAGGAAGGGATGCTAAAAAGAGGGACCTGGACAGGCTGGAGAAGTGGGCCCATGCCAACCTCATGAAGTTCAACAAGGCCAAGTGCAAGGTCCTTCATCTGGGTAGGGGCAATCCCCAGCACAAATACAGGCTGGGGAGGAGAATGGCTCGAGAGCAGCCCTGAGGAGAAGGACTTGAGGGTGTTGGCTGAAGAAAAACTCTATGTGAGCTGACAATGAGCGCGTGCAGCCCAGAAGGCCAACTGCATCCTGGGCTACAGAATCACAGAACGTTAGGGATTGGAAGGGACCTCAAAAGATCATCTAGTCCAATCCCCCTGCCGGAGCAGGAACACCTAGATGAGGTTACATAGGAAGGCATCCAGGTGCGTTTTGAATGTCTCCAAAGAAGGAGACTCCACAACCTCTCTGGGCTGCCTGTTCCAGTGCTCCGTTACCCTCACTGAGAAGAAGTTTCTTCTGAAATTTAAGTGGAACCTCCTGTGTTCCAGTCTGTGTCCGTTACCCCTTGTCTTATCATTGTTTGTCACCGAGAAGAGCCTGGCTCCATCCTCGTGACACTCACCCTTTAAATATTTATAAACATTAATGAGGTCTCCCCTCAGTCTCCTCTTCTGCAAACTAAAGAGATCCAGCTCCCTCAGCCTACATCAGAAGAAGTGTGGCCAGCAGGGCGAGGGAGGTGATTCTGCCCCTCTCCTCCGCTCTCATGAGACCCCACTTGGAGTACTGTGTCCAGCTCTGGGGCCCTCAACACAAAAAGGACAGGAAGCTGTCAGAGCGGGTCCAGAGGAGGGCCACAAAGATGATCAGAGTGCTGGAGCACCTCCACTATGGGGACAGGCTGAATGCTGGGGCTGTTCAGCCTGGAGAAGAAAAGGCTCCAGGAGAACCTTATTGCAGCCTTCCAGTTTCTGAAAGGGTCCTACAGAAAAGTTGAGGAGGGACTTTTTACAAGGGCAGGTAGTGATATAACTTTGATGACTTTGGCTGTTGTCCAAGTGGGAAAACTATTTACAGCAAATGCAATTGTTATGGCTATGCTAATTTTAAAATAATTCATACCAATTCCTTAATCCAGGCAATAAAATTATGTCTAGTAGTGCTCTCTAACAATACGAAGTTAATATCACTGCCTTTTCACACTTTGCAACATAACTTATTGATTCTATGATTATTCGGAATAAATACTGTTAACCAGATGCTGAATAATGGGGTCAAAAAGAATTTTAAGGTCTTCACAAATCTGATATTTCTCAGGGAAAAAGAATTAGTTTTGTAATCATGCCCATTTGTTTTCCAACTTAGACCTCACAGAAAAGCAGATTTTCACATTTCAGAATCTTACAAGCATCTAGGTTTTTGAGCACTATCATCATGAAAACATGAAACAGCTGTGAATTTTAATTAAGCCTATAACAGAAGTATTTCCTTTTGTGGTGGGGTTTCTCTGGTTTCAGTGTCAGTGCTGCAAATACTAGCCTGTACTCTGAAAAAACCCCAACTATATCTGTTCAGTTGGATGCTCTGATTAAATTTCCTAACCTCTAAAGTAGAGGAGAGTAGCATAAGCAATGAACTCTTGTATAAATAGAGCTGGAAATGAAAAAGCTGTCATTATCTACCACATTAATTACTGAATTATTATGCTTTTATGATGTTTTGAAATACATATTTTAATGCAATTTTTTTATTTAATCTTATGCATGTTTAATGACACACAAAACACCACTAAGTAAATGCAAATCATAAAATAGGATAATTTGCATTTTGTTCCTCAACCCTTACTATTGACAAAAGAATCAAGTGCTATTTGTGGGCGTGATGGCCTTGCAGAAGAGGAGGCCAAGAGAAATTTCTACTGACCAGTTGTAAAACAATGTAAGGCTTATGAAATATGTGTAAAAAAACTACTCTTTTCTGTATGGCTTGGTTTGACTCACATAAGTATCTATCACCAATCAAACACTGGATTGGCTAAAAAGTAACTGTGTTTTTCTCTGGATAAATAAAAGGTGACTTTTTCATGGGAAACAAACCTGTATTAAACAACATAGTGTCCATTTTGTTCAATTAACTTTTGCCATCTTTCAGGCAACTTCATGATTCCAAGCTCAAAAAAGTTATTATCTTTTTCCTTTGGGGAATATCTGCTTTGGAAGTGCTTTGAGCTGGTCCATCACGCTTGGTCCAAGACCTTTGTCATTTGTGATTTTTGCAGATGATCCATTTGTCATTACCTGTTATCATAAGTTTCAAAAATTGATTGTTTTCCTCACGTTTCAAGAGAGAACTGCGTATACCAAAGCACTTTGTGAGATGAAATTCTTTGAGCTCACGTGGTACCCAAATATCAAGCTTCCTAATGTATCCAAGTTGTTTTAAATGCTTTTCAATGCTGAATTTTAATTACGGTAAGACTATCAGCAATCTCTCATATTGTTGAATGCTGATTGAAATAGATCAATGACTTTATTTTGTTGTTATCAACTTCAACTGGCCTTCCTGAGCATGCTGCATCTTTAACATCAAAATCTTCAGACCAAAACTTAGCAAACCAATTCTGACACTGCAGTAGTTTTAAGGCATCTTCACCATACACATCACAACTTTTTACGACATTGCACAATGTTTTTTCTTTTTCAGAAGTAATACAGCAAAATATGACTAAAGTGTTTCTTTTGATTTTCCATTTTGAAACTGATGCCAAATAGGTAATTCTTAACAAAACTGTGCACTTTTTCATTTTCTAAAACAAGCTTGAAGTCCCAGCTGTCAAGTTACATGATGAAATTGCAGTTTAAAATTAAGTTAGTTATATTTCAAGACATGTATGTCCATCTATCAGTAAAACCCACGATTACTTTTTGGCCAACCCAATACTAAGTGCATTGGGTTCTCTGCATTACGTATGAGAACCCTATTACAGAGATTACCCATATGACAGTTTACCCATCAAGTTAGAAAGTCTGGACACAACTGAGCAAGACTGGACCTGTAGGAAGGGTAACCAAACACATAGAAAAAGACCGTAGGTTATCCTGATGGTTTCACCTCCACACTTTCATAATCTGTTTTAAAATCAGGATTAGGAGCTTTTATAGCTTTTATTTTCTCATATAATTAAATGTTTAGGCACACATACTTCTGGTTCTCTGTTACTTTCCAGAGATGCCTTTAGAGCATGAATGTGTACATAAATATTTATTTTCATTTCAACTTATATGTAAATCAGTTTTCATTTTTTTCA